GCAGCCCGTCTCTAGCCAGTCAAGCGCCACCTCCCAGTTCCAGCGCTCGGGAACCGTAGCTGCTGATTCTGAAGGTGCCACAGGCGCACAGGACAGCCAGAGGCTTGGGGCCGCGCCCCTCCCCGCCCCCCGCCCGCCAAGCCCAGGCCGGGCCCGCCGCCTGGAAAGTCGTGGCACCTCCCCGCCCCCCGCCGCCAGCGCCGGCTCCTCTTCGCCTCCACCTCGCTCACCCCCTCCTCCCCGCACTTTCTCCTGCTCTCCCTCCCTCTCGGCTCGCACAGCCGGACTCCGCGCTCGGTTCGCCGGCCGCCCAGGGAATCGCCGGCCGCCACCGCCCAGCCTGCGCCCGCCGTCCCTCTCTTGCTTGGGCACCTGTTGGAGGCACAGAGACAGGTGCAGGGGGCTGGGCCGCTGGGGCGTGAGGGTGAGGGTGAGTGTGTGTGTGAGCCTGTGTGTGCCTACGGGGGTGTTTAGCGCTCCGGAGGCTGCAATTTCTGGTTCCACGGGAGAGCCAGTCTCAGGAGGTGTCCCCACCTTGGGCTGCAGAGCAGGGACCAGACAGGCAGGCAGAGAGATCCTGGGGGCTGAATGAAGGGACAGTGGGAAGTGAAGCCCAGATGGCTGGGCCACGGCCTGATCAGACAAGTGCCTGATGCAGAAGGGTGGACAGAGGCTCAGAGACAGAGGAGGGGCCTACGGGCTGGGGCTAGGGGGTGGGCAGGGCCCAGGGCAGAAGGAAGGGCAGGGCTGGGAAGATGACAAAAGGGCATCTGTGGGTAGGTGAGCCACAAGACTGAGGTGGAGCCAGGACCTTTCTGGGGGAGGTGGGCTGGTATCCCAACCCCCACGGAGCAAGGCTTAGGGTCTGGAGGGCCCGGCCTCCTGCCTGCCCCTCAGCTGGCACGGGCTGCCCATTCCCCCACCGCCCAGGAAGGTAACCCTCATAGCCCCGGCCCCACAGACCCCACAGGCCCCGAGGTTGCAGCCTGGCCCTGGGCCAGCAAACCGCAGGTATGAGAAGTCAACCTGGCTCACACTCACACCTCCCTCCCCCAGCCAGGGGTCCTGCATGAGGGGCCGCAGGAGCGACCGCATGACCATCAACATCCAGGAGCACATGGCCATCAACGTGTGCCCTGGGCCCATCCGGCCCATCCGCCAGATCTCCGACTACTTCCCCCGCCGGGGACCAGGACCTGAAGGGGGCGGAGGGGGCTTCGGGGAGGCTCCTGCTGGTCTGGCGCCACTAGCCCTGGCTCCCCCTGCAGCCCTCCTAGGGGCCACCACACCTGAGGAGGGCGCTGAGGTGGACAGCTATGACTCGGATGATACTAGTGAGTTGGGGGGCTTGAGGGCCCCAGGGTTCTCACGGGCGGGAGGGCCCCCAGGCTGCTGGGGAGGGGCTGGGGCCCTGGGGGTGTGCCTGGGGAAGGTGATGGGCACTGTCGCCACAGCTGCAGTCAGTATAGAGATTACAGCTTCAGCAAGGCTCAATATTCAATATTTCTGCTGAGACACTCCTCAGCCACCCACACAGCCCCAGTGGCGGCCCAGCCGGGGACCCAGACGCGTACAGGCTTGCAGGCTGACAGACACGCAAAACACTTCCACAGCCGACACACACATCCAGCCTGCCCGCCAGTCTCGCATACACACCTGGCTGCACACACCAACTCATGCCATCTCTTTCCTCCTCTGCAGCCGCCCTGGGCACACTGGAGTTTGATCTTCTCTACGACCAGGCCTCCTGCACACTGCACTGTAGTATCCTCAGGGCCAAGGTGGGCACACCCTGCCTCCCCAGCCTTGGTCTGGTTTGCCTCCAGTTTCCATTCACCCTCCCTTACCCAAGCCAGGCCCCAAACCCCCTTCCCTCCCCCCCCCACCTCTCTTCTTGGCTGTCTAACCTCAAAGACCCAGCCCTGCAGAGAGAGGGTGTTCTCAGCCCTCCCTCCATCCCTCCTCTCCAGGGCCTCAAGCCCATGGATTTCAATGGCCTGGCCGACCCTTATGTCAAGCTGCACTTGCTGCCTGGAGCCTGCAAGGTACTAGCCTCCTCCCTCCCAAGCTTGAGCCACTTGGGGGTTGGCATGTCTGCTCTGAATCCCCCCAATGTTTGTCTCTACACCTCAGGCCAATAAGCTGAAAACTAAGACTCAGAGGAACACGCTGAATCCCGTGTGGAACGAGGACCTGACATACAGCGGAATTACAGATGACGACATCACTCACAAGGTGCTCAGGTGAGGGCTCCATCCTCCCTGTACCAAGGATTCCAGCTCAGCCTCTCCTCTGGGACAGCTGGCATCCCGCCCTTCTTTGGTTGGTTGATCTCCCTCTCACCAAGCCTCTCTGAAATGCTGAGGAACAATCGGTGGCTCCCTATTCCCTTTGGCAACAGGCCAAAATGGCTCCCTACCCCCACACATCTCCCGCTGTTCTGCAACAGGATTGTTCTCTTCAAATCAGACAGGTACATTACTTCTGACCTTTGTTCTCTCTCTTCCACCTGGAACGCATTCCCTGCTTCTGCCCAAATCCCACCATTTGAGGTTCTGCCTCCTGAAAGCTTTCTCTGCTCACCGATGCCTCAGAGCCTCTGGTGCAGATCCCGGCAGCAGATATCTGCTCTGCCTCTCCCCCATCCATAAGGAGGGGTCCTTTCCTGTCCTTCAGGGACAGGCAAACTGCTCCGTTATCCCCGAAGGTGGAGCTGTGTGGGCAGTAACCCCTGGGGGGGAGTGAAGGCTCGAGAAAGGCCATTTCACTTGTTCTAGGCCATAGCAGGTTTGCATCAGGGCCGGAGCATGGTCAGGGTTGTCTTAGGCAGATCATCTTGATGCTGGGTGTGGGGGGCTGGAAGTGAGGACAGAGGCTGAGGCCAGAGGACTGGCCCCACATACTTCAGATTTGAGAGGAGAACTAAACAACTGCATGCTCACTCTCTCAGGCCCAGCCCTGGGCTGCTCATTTTTACGTTTCTTTGACTTGATCCTCATAGTAGCTTTGGGTACTCATGACACATGGGTAGAGTCTATAGATGGAGCGTGAAGCTTAGGGAAGTCAGGTGACCTGCCCAAGGTCACACAGATAGCTAGTACATGTCGGACCTAGGATTTGAACACCCCTGTGTGACATGTGACACAGGACTCAAGAGTGACAGCAGAAGAAAACACAGGGAGCCACAGGAGATACAAAAGTAAAAGCAATCATTTCTCAATCCCTGTGCTTCCTGTCCAAGGCCTAAGGCCTGTCCTGAGGCTTCAATCTCTGACCCACTCACACTCAGTGAGACCCCACTTCCCCAGGCTGTGAATGGGAGCAATGCGGGAGGGGGTGGTCTCCAAATATTTATGAGGGTCTCCTCTAGTAGCTGATGGATCAGGGACAGAACAGGTAGATGGAAAGGGGGAGGAGAGAGGAGTGGGGCAATTCGGAGCATCCTCCTTCAGCTCCAGGCCTGGTGCTTACCACACAGCCCCCAGGAGACAGCCCACTTTGCAGATGGAGTTTAGGGCAGAGCTGAGACCAACATCAGGTGCTCGGAGCTTGGTCGGAGGACCTTTCTCCCACTCTGGAGTAGAGCTCAGGTACCCCAGGAGGCCCTGACCCTGCAGTTCCCTGCCAGGATCTCTGTCTGTGACGAGGACAAGCTAAGCCACAATGAGTTTATTGGGGAGATCCGCGTACCCCTCCGCCGCCTCAAGCCTTCACAGAAGAAGCATTTTAACATCTGCCTGGAGCGCCAGGTCCCGGTCAGTGTGGGGCTCGGGACACCAGGGTGAGGGGGGCACCAGAGAGGTCAGATTTCTGGAAACTTCTCTTTGCCCTCTCAGCTGGCTTCACCCTCTTCCATGTCGGCGGCACTGAGGGGCATCTCCTGTTACCTGAAGGAGGTGAGGTAGCTCACAGGGACCACATCTGGGCGGGAGGTGGTGAGGATGCAGGCTGACCCCCGTGTCTGCCCGGTAGCTCGAACAGGTGGAGCAGGGGCCCGGGCTGCTGGAAGAGCGCGGGCGCATCCTGCTGAGCCTCAGCTACAGCTCGCAGCGCAGGGGGCTGCTGGTGGGCATCGTGCGCTGTGCTCACCTGGCTGCCATGGATGTCAACGGCTACTCCGACCCCTACGTCAAGACGTGAGCCTCGTCCTGCCCCAGGGCCCACCCTCCCCTATACAGGGAGCTTGACCCTTGCCCCACCCCCTGGGCCTGGCCTAGCTCTGACCATCGCATGCCCCACGCCTGCCTTGACAGGTACTTGAGGCCAGATGTGGATAAAAAGTCCAAGCATAAAACATGTGTGAAGAAGAAGACTCTGAACCCAGAATTTAATGAGGTAAATGCGGAGGGACCAAAAATTGAGGTACACTAGGGGGAGGGCCCGGAGGGCAGCCCCTCACGGAAGGCACGGCTTACCCCGTCACAGGAGTTTTTCTATGAGATGGAGCTCTCCGCCCTAGCCACGAAGACCCTGGAAGTCACAGTCTGGGACTATGACATAGGCAAATCCAATGACTTCATCGGTGAGGCAGCAGCCTGTTAGGTGGGGCGCCGGGCGGGCTAGCGGGGGGAGGCGGGCCCTCATTCTGCTGGCTTCTCTGTTCTCCTCAGGCGGCGTCTCTCTGGGGCCCGGCGCCCAGGGCGAGGCCCGGAAGCACTGGAGCGAGTGTCTGCAGCAGCTGGACACAGCCCTGGAGCGCTGGCACACCTTGACCAACGAGCTGCCCGCTGCGGCTGGGGCATTCCCCTCAGCCTGAGCAGTGGACAGCTGCCCGGCACAGGCCCTGACCCGCAGGGCCGGGTCCAGTACCCAACCTTCGCACGAGTGTGTTGCACGTTTACACGGGGTCGATGCCCCACCCTGCACTACCTGTCTTATTTCGTGAGAGTCTCTGTGACCGTGGGTCTGTCTTCTTGTGAGGGACGTGGAGATCTATATTCACATATGCAAACCTACTCCTGCCTGACTTGCTACTACACGTGAAATATGCAACAAACCACCTGCCCTGTGCACCCTGCAGGGGTCCTGCCAGCGCCCCACCCCAGGCCCCGCCGCTGCTGCTCTCTCCTGCCTCTCCAGGCTGCCCGTCTCCCCTCCCCCACAGGGAGGAGGATGGATTAGGGGGGGTTTGGAGGAGAATGTTTCCAAAAAAGAAAAGGACAAAAAACAAAAAAGAGCCACTCCTTTAATACAGAATCTTCACTGAAAAACGAAACAAAAACCTAGCCCTGTACAGCTGCCCTTAAAGGGGGGTCACTGCAGGGTCTCTGCCTCTCTGAGAGGTGGCAGATGCTCCCGGTCACTCACGAAGTAACTGCTCCCTGGAGGAGGCCGGGATGTGAGGGCAGGGCCCACGTCCCCTGGTGAGAGGCCCACTCCCGGGTCCCGGGGGACATTCATGCATGTTGACGCCTTTTCTGATTGTGTCAGTGGCCGCAGCATGGCAACTGAGTGCCAATAAACGTCTCTGCGGAAGCTGGGGGCTCGTGTGTGCTGGCACAGAGGGTGCTGGGCAGGAGCGAGGGCAGAGGGTGGTCACTCCGGGATGTCGATCACCAGGTCATCATCCCCATCCAGGGCATCGTCCCCACTGCCCGCATCGCTGAACATCTGCCGAGGGACGGAGCTCAGGATCGTGGGTGGAGGCAGCTTGGGAGGGGGCAGGGGGGCCAGGGCTGCCCCTACCCCAGCCCCAGAACCCCGGCCAGGGAAGGTCAGTGGCCCTCCCACAGGGCAATCGGGGGGTCCCACCGCCATCTGCAGTAGGGGGAGAAACAGAGGGAAGGCTTGTCAGGGAGGCGCTGGGACTCTTTGGAGGCTGGCACTGTACTTGTCAGCACTGCTGGGTGGGAGGAAGGGACACAGGCTTATTTAGGCCAGGCCAGTTCATGTGGCACCAGGGGGCCTGCCCCACCTCAGCCCCTTCAGAGTCTCAAGTACCTGGGGGTGAGGGGTGGAGATGGAGGTGGGGATGAGGGTGCTGGGAGTGGGGTGGGGTGTCTCACAGGAAACCAGGAGGGAAAGACCAGGCCCTGCCCTTGCCAGGGAGGCAGCTCAGCTACTCCCAAAGAGCAGCTGGTGCCAGAGTCAGAGCTGGCCTGGTGTGCCTGCCTGCCTCTGGGGGGCTCAGATACCACCTGCCACCACTGCCTCCTCTCCCTCTTCCTCCTGTGTTCTAGGTCTTCACCCTCACTGTTGAGGCTTTTACCTCTGGGAATGGCCTTGACCAAGCCATTTTTCAGCTCACCTGGGCTACGAAACCAGCTTCCTAACTAGACTTCCTGCCGTCAGCCTCCCCCAGATGCAGCTCTTCCTCCACACTGCAGCCAGAGCTCGCTCGCTAAAACAAGCCTGCACTTGTCATTGCTCCACTCAAGAGCCTCAGGCTCCTCACTGTCCTAGACAGGCAGTCGGGGTGCCTGACAGTAGTGGGGTCCCTCCACTTGCAGTGTCCTTTTCTATTTAAGAGTCCTGCTATGTCTCTGGAGGCCTCTGTCTAGCCCAGGCCTCCAGCCCTATCCTTGCCAGGACCCCATGGGAGGCTCTGCAGGCTTCATACTTGGTCAGTGGGCACAAGCTGAGTGGTCGGTGGGCACATGAGTAGCCAGGATTCAAACCTGGTTAAACCTGATGGCAGTCCAGGCTCTGACCCTCTTCTTTCCCTCCCCTCCGCTCAGACTTGCTACCTATCTCCTCAGCCCAAGTCACGCAAGAGCTTCGGTGATGCCGACCTTTACAGCAACATCCAGACTGGGCGCTCAGGCCTTCTGCCATCCCACCCCCCCCCAGCCCCGTTACCCAGTTCTTTCTTGTCACTCGTGTTCCAGCCCAAGTGACCTTTCTGCCATGTCTGTCCCTGTCCTCCTCTCTGCTGCTGCTTTGACCTGGACTGTCCATGACCTGGACTGTCCAAATCTCATGCATGCTGGGCACAAATGTTACCTCTTCTTTAGGGCCTTCTCTGATTTATCCCCTTCCTTATGCACAATTCTGAGGGTCTCTTTGAAGCAACATTTTCTCTGCTGATATGCCAAGACTCCACTTCCTGGCAGCTCAGGATCCAGTATCAACCAGAAAGCCTTGAACATGTTCCATCCCACACCTCTATCCCTATGCGCCAGGCTCCACTCATCTTTCCCATCCTGCCCTCCAGGTCAGGAGCAAAAACCCTACTCTGTAGAGCAAATGGCTGTAACATCATCCCGTTTCAGGCTCAAGAACCAGTTAAGGTCACAGACAGAGAGGAAGTGGCAGAGCTGGGATTTGAACTTTGAACCTACAGTCCTCACGACCACAAACGGCCTCCCCCATCTTCTGCTGTCTAGTCCACGCGACTTGACAGCTGTCTCGCCTGGTCCAATTCCACTTTTATTTCCCAGCTGGAAGGGCCCTGTGCCTTCCCTGTGTCCTCATCTTTTCTGGACGTCACCCACATTCTCCCACTCCACGCTGATGTCGTCCAAACACATGCCCAGGGGTCCCAGGCTCCCAGCCGGTTATCTCACGGGACTTCCAAGAGCGCATCAACATGTTCAAAACCAAATTCTTCATCTTCCCTCCCAATCTCAGAAAAAGGCTACTTCAGTCCGTCACTGGTCTGAGCCCCGAAGTCCAGTCACTCCACTCTTGACTTCCTACAGCCCACTCTGGTGCTCCAGCCTTCCTGTGGGTCCCTCTCGAAAGAGAACTGTGATCAGCTCTCCACTGCTACCTGGGTTTACTGCAGTGCTGCTTTGGCGGTCTCTCCACTTTCTTCTTCACTTCCCTTCCCCACCCCCATCTACACGCTGCTCAGCACAGCCACAAGCTCGTTAGCACGTGATCAGATTTACACTGTGCCCATCGTCCCTGAAGGTTCCCGTTCCAAGGCACAAGCCAAAGCCTCCACAGTACTTGAAAGGCTGGACACCACCTGGCAGCAGGGATTCTCCGACCACTCTCCCCTTTCTTCTCTCCTCACGCTGGCCTTCCTACACTTGAACAAGGCAGACACATGGTTTGCTCTCATCTCCCCACAGTTTCTGACCAAGTTATAACCCGGAAGACCCAAGCAAAAATACCTGCTCCTGTCTACTCTGGTGCTTCCCATAATCTTTACTTGACTCCATCTTTCTGCCTTGATCCTACTTATCTTGTCTTCATTCCGCCTGTCTTACCGGAATAGGGCCTCTGCAAAGGCAGTTTTGTCTGCTCGCTACAACATCTGCAGTACCGGGGACAGGTGCTCCAGAAACAATCGATCACGTTGGTTTGACCATTCATTTTACAGACCTAGAATCTGAGCCCTAGAGAACTGGGACCTCTTGAGGTAGCCTGACTCTTGGGGGAGGGGGGGCGCGGTGGTAGCACAAGTGGATTTGATTCTAGATGCAAGTCTGCCTGGCCCAGCCATACCAGCATGTCAGGACAGAACCCCAGGCATCTTCACTGTCCCCCAAGGCTCCTCTTGCCCCCAATTTGTCTGAAGTGCCTGTGAGTTGAAACTTCTCTGATCCACCCCTGGGCTGGGCCCCCGGCCCCTTCTGAGCCTCCCTCAGACAGCTGTCCTCCTGCCATTCTGGCCCCTCCCTAGCACCCCCAGATAAGGGTACCTTGAGTTTCCGGGGCAGGCGGGGTCGTTTCTCCCGCTTGGGCCTCAGGGGGCTGGGCTCAGTCAGCTGCAGGGCCAGGTAGTCAGAAGGGAATGGGGGGTAGGGGGGGGAAGTCAGCTGCAGGTGGGGGTTGGGATGGAGATGGGGATGGAGTGGATGGGTGGGTTGAAGGGGAGAAATGCAAACGGGAGAATGGAAAAACAAGAGATGGTGATGAGTGCGGCTCCTGAGAACAAAGGGGAGCGGACAGCAGCAGGACTACGTCCTGGGGTCTGCTCTCCTCAGTCACGTGTGTCCCCACTCCTACGCCAGAGATGGGCAGTCCCGGCTCACACCCCTCCGGGGACACTCGTTGGGCACACCCGGACCGATGTCCCCAGAGTCGGGCCAGCTGCATCCTCAGGTCTGGGCCCTCTGCCCAGCTGATGCCCTCTTAATTCCCAGGCATCTTAGTTACCACTTACCACCCTTGACCCCAACTCACCGAGCTCAGGTATGGGGAGGGGGCCCCGGAGGCTTGAAGGGGAAACCCTGTTGAAGGAGGCAAGGAGAGGCTGGAGGGGGAGGGGGCACCCCCCAGTGGAGGGCTTCTCTTCCTGGAGAAAGGACAGGGGAGGGAGTCAGAGGCAGCGAGGAAGCCCAGGGGCCTCCCACCCCACCCTTCCCGAGAAGAATGGCGGCTTCTTCTCACCTCTTGGGGGCTGGCGTGTCCGACAACTTTGGTGTCCCTTCTGTCTCGCTGTTATCTGAAGATGCAGTGGCATCTGAGTCTGTGAGGGGGGAGGGCTGGTCAGTGTGTGCGGGATGAGGGGTCACTGTCTGCCTCAGAAGGGTGTAATCTTCTGAGGGAAGTTCTACAGAAGGGTTCCAGGGGAATCTGACTCCACAGGTTGGTTCATGTGCTATTTTGGGGAGCCCTAAGTTTCCCCAGCTTCTTAAAATATCATTTAAAACCTACATTCTGCCTGGGCTTCTGTATGATAACACATCTGTCAAGAATTTACTATGAGCCAGGCTCTAAATGGGCACTTCACGTTTACCATCTAGCCTACATAAGCATTCAAGGAGGAAGCAGGACAATTCATTTCTACTTTGCAGAGGTCCCTGAGGCTCAGAAAATGGGCTTTGGGGCTTGAGATCTTGAGCCTAGGTCTGCGACTCCTTGACTATCTTTTTAGCTTCTGTTTCTGCTCTACTCCCCATCTAGGATTTTCTCCCTTTACCCCTAGAACCTCCCCTTCCCCATCATCTGGCTTTATTATCTACCTTCATCTATTCCATCAAATTGCTACACCAGGCCACCACCAAGGCAAAGCTACCTGCTATGCAATCTTACTTCTGTCACCATAGCCCATTCCAACCACACAATGACTTTGAAGCTAAACATGGTCACATCCTTCCTGGATGTCCCCCCTGCCTGCAAGCATTAGAAAGTGTTTCTTCATCTGGCCTCAAGCTACCTTCCTGGTCTCCCAAGCAAACTGTCCTCTATACAACATGCCAATCAATTTCCTTAAAAAGGAATTTCCTGGGCCCTCCCTGGTGACTCAGCAGGTTAAAGCACAGTACTAAGAAGCTAAAGCCACTTCAGCATGAGTTCAATCCCTGCCCCGAGGTGACCCACATGGCGCGGCAGACCTCCCCTGACCCGCTCAAGGCTCCCCTCAGGAGTGTACTTCATCAGTCGTCCTGTTCTGCTCCCCACTCTGTCTCTGGTGAATCCTCTCACTGCCCCACACCTCTGGCCTGTACCCTAGTTCTGTATGCATAAATTAATAAATCTTTAAAAAAAAATTTCCCAGATCTTCTCCTCTACTTAGAAGTCCCATCACTCACCTAACCACCACTACTCATGACACATACCACTCCGTTCCCTCCTCAGATAGATCCCTTTAAGACACAGCTTAAACGCTACCTGTGAGATATCTTCTCTGAGAACTCTCTCCTCTCCCATCACGGCTCTTCTCACACTGTGTTAAAACACAGGTTAGACGTCTCCCTGACCAGACTGCAGGCTTCCCTGGGTGTCTCTGGCTCTTGCTTGCATATAGCCAACTCTGTGTACATGATTATTTCATGCCTCCTGTGCTATACTCCCCTCAAACAGTAAGTTCACTGAACACCTTAGGGAAGGGGCAGGCGAACAATGAGAGGCTAGAATAAAAGTTGACTTCTGCCATGTCTACATGAGCTGGCTCTGGCCTACTTCTGACCTCATCTACTGTCCTCCCCTAACATGTGAATGAATGGGCGGTGCGTGTTCCAATACAACACTGCTTACAAAAACGAGCAGCCTGCTTGGCAGCTGCCTGCTGACCCCAGCTCTAGGCCAGTGTTTAAAGGCACCATGGAGAGAGGTGACTGTGACGGGCATGGTTCACGAGACCCCCACCCTGGTATAGGGACACAAATGCCCACCTTAGGGATTTCTCAAACTGTGGGCCTCAACCTATTAGTGGGTCATGAATTCGCTGGTTTGTAACCAGCATTTAAATAAATAGCAGCTGCCTAAAATAGTTCCAGAAAGAATTATACTGCTTTAAGTTTCGTCTTATAAGTATGTATGCTGAAACCAGTTATGATGCTAAGATACATCATCCATGGTAAATGATGACAAATAAAAGATCTGAAAACACTGCCCAGTGTGTTTCAGACCTGCTCTTCAAACCAGCCTCCTCACCGCAGGGCACCTACATTTGCTATTCCCTGTCTCCCTCTCACTAGAATCTGCACAAGATTACGTTCATCTCATTTAGGTACTGGCTCAAACATTACTTTCTGAAATATTCCTTTGTTGAGGATTCTGAGTCATTGCCTGCTACCTGCTTTTCTATAGCCTGCAAAGTAAGAATGGCTTCTACATTTTAAGTTTTGGGGGAAAAGAGAAAAATATTTCACTACATGTGATTACATGAAATTGGAATTTTAGTGTCCATACATGAAGTTTTATTGAAACACAGCCATGCTCATTTATTGATCTAGCACCTATGGCTGTTTTTGTACAACAGCACAGCTATGGAAATAAAACAAAGATTGTATGTCTTGCAAAGCTTAAAACGTTTATCAGTTGGACTTTTACGGGATAGATTTATCTACCTCTGATTTACTCCAATCCCTACCACCAAACCCAAGTTTTATTCCTCTCTAGATTTATTGCTATTTAGTAGTCTAGTTCCTTGATACTAATTACTGCCAACAAGAATACAACACTCCAAAAGGCTTTGTCCATTTTGGTTACCATGTATCCCTGGTGCAAAGCACAATGCTTGAAACAGTAGTTGTAGACGCTCAATAAATACTTGAAAGAATGGTAGAGGTGGAAGGCAAGCAACTAGGCCACCGAAGGCCGCATCAATCTCCACAGCCTAATAGGAGGGGCCCAGGAAGCTTGCCGAAGTGCCCGGAGTCATGTCCTCCACCAATTTTTCATGACCTTGCTCACCAGAAGAGTCTTCATCCACGTTCTCATACTGCAGAAGCCGGTCTAGGAGAAAACTGAAGAGGCAGGGAGAACCGTTTTTATTCCCACCAGCAAGGTTCTTCAGGGCTCCCATCCTCCCCAAGGTGGGCACCATGCATTTGTGGCCCCAGTCCAAGACGGGGTCCGAATATAAATACATAGGAGCCCTACCACCCTTCCACCTTCCCTCTCCCGGCTAATATGTCTCACCTCTTGTCCCGGGACACCTTCAGCAATTTCCTCTGTGCCTTTCTCAGTTCCTCCTGGAAGCACTCGTGTTCCTGTATCACAGGCCATGTGGGCGCTGAGCCAACGGCCGTTCTTAAAGCCGCCCAGAACCCGAGGTCAATTCACCTGAATTCCTTTGCAAGTAGGTAAACTGAGGTTCTACCAGTACCAGGCCTTGCCCCCCACAACCTCTCCACCCCACACTCACGTAGATGAGGAACTTGAGCTTGCGCTTCAGGTTCCGGTATTTCTTCTTGTAGTCCACTTCGCCGTCCGCCGGCCCGTTCATGACCGGCCCCGGGAACAGAGCTCCAGCTAGCCGGAGTCCCGCTACCCCAGGCCGGCTCAGCCCGGCCTCTCACGCCTCCACTTCCGGAGACTCAGCAAGACTGTACGCCAGACTACAACTCCCGGCGTACCCCTCGCCTGGGGCCCGAAACCGACAAGCCCGGCCTCTGGGGGAAGACCAGGAAATAAACGTTGCTTTCAAGGGATGCGCCGAAGTCGGCGTCGCAGCGACGCGATGACGTCATAACGACGGCGGGCGCGGAAGGGCGTCCTGTTACTAAATGTGCTTAGTGATTTTGAAAGCCACACGATTTTCCCTCAGGGATGCCTAGTCTCCAGGCAAGGATGCCTGTTCCATTGCTTTTCCAAATAACAGCGGCCTAGCTGGTGCCCGTGGCCACGGACGGAGAGCGTCGCGAGTTGATTACGTTCACTTGCCGGCGCCAAGTCGGTTTCTAACGCGAAACTTAAAACGATTCGTTAAGAAAAGAAAGGAGCCGCGTGACCAACTGTCCGAGGAAAGCAAATTTTGCCTGTCAAAGTTCTCGGCCCAAGCGGCACGCGACTGATACACAACGGCCCCTCGCCTCACGGCGCCACCACACTGCGCGTGCGCAAACTCCTGTCCCACACGCGGACGGAGGCCGAGAAGAAAAAAAGGCGGGAGCCGCCAATTTCAGGTGGGGCAAAATGGCGCGGGAGAAGGAGATGCAAGAGTTCACCCGTAGCCTCTTCCGAGGCCGCCCGGACCTCAGGTGCATAGGGACTTGGGGGTTGGAACGGGCAGGGGCGGGACGGGGACTCCATTTTGACACCATGTCTCCACAGCACGCTCACACACTCCATCGTGCGGCGGCGGTTCTTGGCTCACGCGGGCCGCGACCGCCTGGAACCCGCGGAGAAGCAGGCACTGAAGAGGCTAGTGGAGGAGGAGCTTCTGAAGATGCAGGTGTGGGCTGCGGTCTGGGCCCCGGGAGGTGGGGCGTGTTGCCTGGGAGGCGGGGCGAAGCCGCCGGGGTAACCCTTTGGCTACTCTTGATGCTCACACAGGGGGATGAAGCTAGTGCTAGGGAAGAGAAGCTAGACCTTGCCAAGGCGAAGAGGCCTCCCACCCCCTGCAGTGACACAGAGAGAAAGAGGTTCCGCTTCAATTCAGAGTCAGGTTAGTGCCTTCTGCATGCTTGGTTCATTCAGGAGGTTTTTAGTGTGCATGTATTATGACTCAAGGTATCAGATGAAGGGCCGAGGCCACTGAATCAGGAGCCAGGAACAGGTGAACTGATAGCTGTGTTTCCTGATGCTCTTCCCACTATCCACCTGTCAAAACAGGCAACTTGTTAAAAACAAGAAAGGACAAGAAGAAACTGGCTGAACCTTCTCTTCTCTCCACAATCTAGAGCACAGTTCTGCAGCCTCCAGTCCAGAGCGCCTCAGACCCCCAGCAAAGAACAAGATGGCAGCAGGAGTCAGTGTGGCCAAGGAGAATCCAAGGAACTCCTCAAAGAAAACAGTTGAGAGCAGCGATGAGGAAGAACAGCAGAAGAACCTGGTGAAGGAGAGCAGTGAGGAGGATGGTTCTGCCAAAACAAATAAAGTCTGGAAAGAGAGCAGTGAGGAAGAGGAAGAGGTAGAAGAAGAGGAAAAGGGGCACAAAGGCAGGACTAGGAAGAAAACTATGACAAATAACAAGCAAGCTTCAGGCAACACCTCAGACAGGATGCAGGAGGCCACGGAGGAAAGTGAGGACAGCGAGGAGGAGGACCCTGAACAGAGGACAGGAAAGAAGGCAGAGAGAAAGAGACAAGCTAAAAGCCACAAGGAAGGTAAAAAGGAGAGTGGAGACGAGACCCTAGCCAAAAAGGAAGAGGACAGTGAGGAAGAGGAGGATTGGAAGCCCAAAGCCCAGAGTAATGGTGGGAAAAGGCCAGCTTGGGAGGAGCGGAGCTGTAAACAGAAAAGCAGGGCAGTAAGCCTGCCAGGGGACTGGGGAGACAGAGAGGAACAGAAGGAAAAAGTAGCAGCTGGTGGTGGGGATAACAGCAGGGGTGATGAAGCGACCTCAGTGCAGAGAAAGAGGAAGGTCGGGACCCAGTGGAAAGATGGGAAAAAGCAGAGTGGAAGTAGCGAGGAGGATGAAGACAGCTGTAGGACAGTAGAAACAAGTACTAAAGGCACAGGAAAGACAGCTCAAGCGGGCAGCCTCAGTGGTGAGGACAGTGACTCAGAGAGGGAGGTGAGTGACAGCGAGTCAGAGGGGAGACCCAAAGGGGAGAAGAACCGCTCTTCCAAGAAGAGTTCCAAGAAAGGCAGGGCACGAAGCTCCTCCTCTTCCTCAGATGGCAGTCCAGAACCCAAAGGGACTAAGGTAAGGGTGAAGACAGGGTGGGAGGCCACTATCTGGGAAAAGCAAGACTCTTGACTCAAGCCCAGGTTTGGCCTCTTGCTGCTCTCTCCTTGCCAGGCGGACTCTAATCGCAGAGGTGAGGATCACCCAGCTGTGATGAGGCTCAAGCGCTATATTCGTGCCTGTGGTGCCCACCGCAACTACAAGAAGCTGCTGGGCTCCTGCCGCTCTCACAAGGAGCGTCTGAGTGTCCTCCGGGCAGAGCTGGAAGCCCTGGGCATGAAGGGTGAGGTGGGGCGTGTCCTGGGAGATGTAGGGAAGGGCCTGGGCTGCCGGGAAAGGGGGTCATGAGCCTGAGCCTTTTCTGCCCCAGGTAACCCTTCCCTAGAGAAATGTCGGGCTCTGAAGGAAAAGCGGGAGGAGGCAGCAGAGGTCGCCTCCTTGGACATTACTAACATTATCAACTGTTCAGGTGAGGTGAGGCACTTTCAATTCTTCAGGAGCAGATGAAGCTTGGACCTTCTCACACAACTTATCTATCACTTCTTCCCATAGGTCGACCCCGCAGACGCACCGCTTGGAACCCTTCAGGAGAAGCAGCGCTCCCAGGGGAGCTATACCGCAGAACCTTGGACTCAGAGGAAGAGCGATCCCGCCCCCCACCCCCAGATTGGTCGCACATGCGTGGCATCATTAGCAGTGATGGCGAGAGTAACTGAGTTGCCCACTTTGCACTTGTATAAACTGTTCACAACACCCCCACCCTGTGCCTGCACAAATCATAAGTGGATTTCTTCAGAGAAGACTTGCAGCCCCAGGAACATGGTGGGATTCTACTCCACATTTTCAGTTCAAGATGTTTCAACAGGGTTATTATTTTTAAGACTTATTAATAAAGGAATGTTTGAGTCACCTCTTCAAAACTGGTCCCCCACTCTCACTTCTTGTACTTTGGGCCAGGAAACTGAGGTAGCCACTGCCACCCCTGGTCTGCTTCCCTTTCCTTTCCCCAAATTCTCAAAAGAAATCTCAGCTTCCAGACCCTGCCATCTAGTCTGCCACCAGCTCAGAGGAAAATATGGTTCCTATCCTAACTCCAGCCTGAGCAGTGGGCCTCTCTGTTCACCATGCTTTTAGCTGAAAACCTAGTTGGAAGAAGTGAATAATTGGCTTGAAGAATGAGAAACACAAAATGAAATGACTAGGAATAGCTGGTGTTTATATATGTCTTTCTGGACCCTCTGGAAACAGCCAGACTCAGCCTTAAAGGGATGGGTACAGAGAGCTCACAAATCAATGTAGCTGGCTATTAAAAAAAAGCCAATAAGGTCACTTTGAGGCTTCACAGGAATTCTTGGTGAAGCTGTTGGTGAGCTTGGGCTGCCAAAGGGCTCTGTGAAGTGAAGCTTCTGAGAGGACTATAAGTCAAAACAAAGGGAAGCACCGGATCAAGAGACTAGTGGGTCATTGAGGCTCTGGATCCAGGCATGCCTGTCATTATTAAAATCACGGAAATGTTCAGTCACACAGCACAATAAACTTGATCTACAAAAGGTAACTATCACCTGCGACTGTACAGTCCTTAACGCACACCTTAAGACAGAAAAGGTGAGTCCCAGGTCTGTTAGAATAACCAACAGTTTATTAAAAGCTTGCCGTGGGGCTCTGTGCAGCCCCGTAGCCGGGAGGGGCTCCCATGACTGCTCCCAGGCCAGGAGCAGCCCCTTCCATGGTCCTTCCCTGTTCCCCTACGCCAGCTCTGATCTCAATTAAAAAAAAAAGATAAAGGACAAGACGGCACAGGACGTCAGACAGCAATGGGGGAATGGAGAGACCCAGGCATCCTGACCCCAAGACCCCATCCGGATCCTTCTTTCTTAGGAAGGCCTTTTCTCCTATTCCCACTCCAGGCCCCAGACCTGTTTCATCACCACCCAGGTCTAGGCGGCCTGGCATCCCTAATCCATGACCCCATTGCAGGGGGTAGTATAGTTCTCTGAATATAATATATCTAGACCCGCCCTTGCCCTCCCCCGGGGGACTAGATGAATATTTGACACGCACATCTCCCTCCTTTCTGAGGCCACGATGGAGAGAGACCTGGCACCATGGTGGGGAGGCAAGGGCTCCTGATCAGCCTTGAGGCACCTATGCCCAAGCCGGTCCTGGGCCACTGGCCAGCCCAAGAAGTTCATGAGATGAGGAAGTCCGAGGGGAGCTGGAGCCAACATCCTGTCCCCCCACCCTTGGGTGAGCCACAAGCTTACTGCCCTCTAGGATCAGGCTCCACCCACCCTTGCCCCTCCCCCATTCACCTGCTTACCCACCCTGCACTTCAGGAATAGAAGTGGGAGGAGCCATTAAGTATGTGGGAAGCAACACTGGTGCTGCGGCTCAGAGGCCCGGGCACCGCGGCAGCAGGTGGGCCCACGCTGTCACTGCCACTGCCCCCAGAGGCTGCCCGCCGCAGGGGCTGGGGACTGTTTCTTAGCAGCAGCAGGGCTCCACCACGGGGAGTTCCACTCTGTGCTGGGGGCCCCAGCCAGGTCGGGGGGCCAGGGGGCGCCAGCAAAGAGGGTTGACGCCAGGCTGGGGGGGGCATGCCTGGTGGAGGGGGGCCATGGCTCCAGTGTGCCCCTGAGCGGGGGACAGGACGGGAGGGCCAGGCAGGGGCAGGGGGTGGGGCAGGATAGCCCTGGGCAGCAGCCTCGGCTGGGATGCCCCCCAGAGCCATACTGGAGAATCCCAGCCTCATGCTTTCAGCATCGAAGGCCTCAATCTCGCGGGCCTGCCGCTCAAGCAAACTCCGGATTCGCTCGGAGCGCCCTGTCTGCAGGGCCAGCAGCTCCTCTTCCACCTGGAGCACCCAGAAGAGAGGTTAGACATTCCAGGGAGGGGAGAACATGCCCACCCCACCACATCCTGGAGGCCAAGCTGTCTTACCCGTTGCTCTAGCAGTGCCCGCCTCAGAGCTACTCTCTGCTCCAGCTCCCGTAGCTCTCTCTCGTGCTGACTTTCTGTGCGTATCTTGATCTTGCTCTGGTAAGCATTGAGCAGCTCCAGTTCCTGTTGAAGCTGTTGCCGCAGGGCCTGGAACTCAGCCTCCTGGGTTTCATCGAGTCGCAGCTGGAGAATAGGAAGAACTGGCTTCAGTGACCTCCTCCCCCAGCCCCACAGTCCTCCCCTGCCCCGGTAGGCCTGGGCCCTAAGGTTTCAAGAAGCAGCCAGTCTCAACATCTATCAAAATGAAAGGTCGTCATACCCTGTGACACAGCATTTACACTTCCAGGCATTTATCCCCCAGGTATACTTGCACAAGTGCTCGAAGGTGTTCACTGAAGCGTTGTAATAGCAAAATACTGGAAACAACCTAAATGTCCACCAATAAGGGATGGGTTAAATAAATTATGTTACATCCATGCTGTGGAAAATTCTAAGCTGCTAAAAAAAAATGCTATGTGTACTGACATGGAAAAATGTCCAAGAAATGTTAAGTGGAAAAGGAGGTGAGATAACAATATGTATGGTATGATTCCATCTTTGTTTAGTTTTATATGATTTTCCATAAATGTATATGAAAAAAACCTAGAAATTATTATCAAGAATTACCTCTGAGAGGTGGGGTTAGGTAAGAGGATGGCAATAAAACGGGCATTTGTACTTTTTTTTGCTATTATGTGTATTTCAAGCGGCCCATTGCAGTGTTGGATATGATCATTTTAAAACAGCCACCTTCAGAACCCTCCAGAAGTCTGAGTAAATCAGTATGAGAGCTACAATCATTTTGATACGCTCCCCATTCATACATTAAAATAGTTCAGGCCCAGGAAAAAAGTTATAACCATTGTTTCCTTGGTGGTTCTTAAGTAAGGTGGGCTGGCTTTGTCAAGACCTTAAGAAAATACTTGAGAGATATAGTAAAAACCATAGCAGAGGATACAACAGTGGGCGAATAGCTGAGTTTCTCAAGAACACCCCCCCCCCTTTCCCAGTTTTCCCATAACTAAGCTGGAAAAATATCCACCATGCTCCCTCCCTGGACCCCAGGCCTCACCGCCTGTGAGCTGAGCATCTCTGAGATGGACTGGTCATACTGCTCGGCCAGGATCGCCAGCTTGCGGGTCTGCTCTTCCTTGAGCCGCTTAAGGAGGCTCTTGTGCTGAGCTTTGGGCGTGGTCTCCAGCAAGTGTGCCCGCAGAGCCTTGTACTGCCGAGTCTGGATCTTACACGTCTCCTGGAACTGCTTCTTGATCTGCAGCTCCTTAGACTATGCAGTGGACGGACCAAGGGGAGATGGGGGCAGGAGAGAGGAAGAGGAAGAGGAAGAGGTAGAGAAGGAAGAGGAGGAGAACAACCAGGGTCGGGGGGAGAGGAAGAGAGGACACAGAAGCAGACAGGGAGAGGGAGAGAAACAGAAAACATGTTAGACAGAGGGGGCGGGGGGAGCTGTATATGGACAGACATGGAGAGAGGGGGTTGTGCGGAGAGATCAGGAAGGTTCTTGATGGGCAAGAGACGTAAAGGACGACATGTGATGAGGACATATTTGGAGAGCTGGGTGGAAAACTTCACAAGAAGAGCAGCAGAACTCACAGACAGGGAACTAACAACCTTTACAGAGTACTGAGTATACACAAGAAGCTCTGACCATGCAGAGGGAGAAGAGAGAGGCATGTACGTAGATATAGAATGTGCACGAGTTAAGAGAAAACCAAGTCACACAACACTCCCGTGGAAAACAGCAACACAGCTCAGGAAAGATAGACGACGTCCCAGGTTCAGCAACTCAGGGAAGGAGGGAGGGAAGGAGGAAAAGCACTGAGCTGAGAAATGGAAAAGAAAGGGTTGCCCCGTCTTGGGCTATGTAAGGGAAAGGGCAGAGGTGGCCAGAACGGTCCTCACAAGTTCAAGGGGTCAGCAGCTGTCACCCTGACCAGATCTCCACATTCCAGTCGGCCCCTTTTGTATACTCTGTACCCACTCCCAAGTTCACAACCAACCCCATTTCCACGGCCCCCCCAATTCACCACTTTCTATTGTGAAGGGTTTATATAGTCCCAGCCCCCACCCCTTGAGGGTTATGCCTGATGCCAGGAGAACTTCAGCTCCCAGACAAAAAGGAACCACATAGGGAATGGGTTGGGAGAAAAGGCAGGTGGTGAGGATGAAAGGACCCAGAACCTAAGTACTCTCTGAAAGGGCTCCACTGTGGAATCAAAAGGTTCTGTAGAAGCCCAAAGGGGTCGAGACCCCCGAGCTGGTGGTGGTCATGGTGCAACGAAGCTATGAAGGCAGACAGGGTAAGGCTGAGGAGCGAAAGGGGTTGAGATAACGCAGATGGGGGTGAAGAGGTCATGGAACTGGGGACCAAGGGTCCAGACTGGGGGTCGGGTCATACCGGGGAGGCTAGGCGGCAGGACAAAGCAGACAGAGGCAGCCTGGGCCAAAGGTACAGTTCCGCTCAGATATTTTATTTGTGTTTGTCTTTTTCTTTTTTTTTTTTTTTTTTTTTGGTGGGGGAAAGGGGACAGGTTGGAAGGGAGACAGAAAAACAAAATCAAAGAGAGAAAAAAAAACATGACTCTTCCCACCCACCGCCGCCCCTGGCCCCAGGCCTGAGTTGATGAGGGTGAGGATGAACACACACACAGCGGGAAAACAGCAATAACTTATAGAGTGGGGGAGCGTCAGAACACACAGTGTAACTTCTGACTCCATGGTAGAGGAGGCTGCCAGTCTAGAGGTCCGGTGGTCTGGGAGTGGGGTGGGCAGCATACCGAGGAAGGAGGAGTGAAAGGGAGGAGAGGGCTGGAACTGAAGGAACTTCACTGAGTAGTGGGAGATAAAGTGCTCAATGCTCTAGATTTGGACTGAGGAAGAGCTAGAGTTGGCGGTCACCTCCAGGGAGGCAGGGCCTGAGACCGGCGAGTCCGGGATCTCCGCCCAGCTAGAGTCCCTACTGCTGGCTGGCGGGAGGCAGAGGGCCCGAGCCGGCGCTGACTTCGCTGACTTCGCGGTAGCAGCCTGGGAATACGGCTGGGCCGCTCACCACGAAGCAGGCCCCAACTGGCCAGTGTGTGAATAGCCCAAGGAGGCAAGTGGGAGGCTAACCCCTGGCTGGCCCGTGCTAGACGCCAATTCCAGCCCTTGCACAGGGCCCAAAACCTTGCCAATAGGGCCAGAGGGTGTTTGGCAGTGCGGGGATTATTCCTCCGGGGCCCAGGCACAGGGAGACGGCTATGGAAGCAATTCTTGTTAGTCTTGGGGTAGAGTGCAAACAGGCCCCGGTCCCCCACAGCCCCACAACCCTGTAGGGCTCGAAAAGCCATGGGTGACAGGTGCAGCAGAGTCCGTAACCAGAGCCGAGAGATACCCCGACGGATCCGGGGGCCCTGCTGTCTCACCCATTTGCCACCAGCTGCCGTAGCTGCCAAAGGCAGAGCCAGGCCTGGCCACGTCAGGAGCCAGGCAGCTCCAAGGCCCAGAGGCACACCCATAAGACCTCGGTGCCAACTGAGACTCAATACAATTCCCAATGCAGTGCCTTGGGCCAGGAGTAGGAACAGACTCGGGGGCAGGTGCAGAGCTGTACAAAGAAGTAGGTAGGAGGATCCTAGGCCTATCAGCCCCACCTCAAGGGCCAGCAGGGCTGCCTGCAGACCACCTCCACCCTGGGCTGCCAGCAGTGGGAGAAGCAGCAGAAGGAGTAGGGGCAGGAGGCTAGAGGAAGACCCTACTGCAAAGGAGAGGCTAGCCAGGAGGCCATGGGACAGGAGTCCAGGTAACTGGCTAGTAGGGCCAGGTCTCAAACGTGCTGGAGGGGGCTCAGGTGGGATGTCTGGTAAGGGACAGCCATCATCAGGATCCCTCAGGGTCCTAGCTGGAGCCCCTTCTTCCTCTTCCTCCTCTTCCTCAGGGACTGGGGTGAGTGCTGGGCCCTGCACCCAGTCGAGCTCAAACTCCTCATCCAGGAAGCTCCCATCTTCCTTCCCCCACAACCTCCAATCCCCAGTTGCCTCTTGGCCCACGATGCTCCTTTCTTGGGGTGCCAGGGATGGGACTCTAAGCTCCTCTAGCACCTCTGCAGGTAGATCCCAAACTTCCTCCTCAGCCAAACTTCTTTGATTTTGTGGACTGGGCCTAGGGGGTCCTGATTCTTCCTCCAATATCCTATGCTCCTCTGGCTCCAAAGCAGTCCCTTCCTTTCCCAGAATCCTTCTCTCTGGAACTGCTTCCTCCTCTCCCAGAATTCTTTGGTCCAGGACTGCCTCCTGGCTAGATGAACAGGGCTGCTCTTCTCTAGGGATGCCTGTGCTGGGTGGTCCCAGAACCCCGGGAACGGGGAATGGGAGGCCCGGGGAACGCTGGCTTGAACGTACTTTGAGGCTCTTGGGCTGCTGGCGAACCTGGGCCGCATGCTTCTGTCGCAACTCTTGCTCACGGCGCTTGTTGTACTCCAGCTGGTTGCCCAGCTCCGTCTGGTGCTGCAGGCGGGTGAGCTCAGCCCGTGTGCGCTGTACAGCCTGGAGCTGCCGTAACTCCAGCTCCCGTGTGGCTTCATGCTGCCGCAGCAGCAATGCACACTCCAAGTCCTTCTGTGTCTGTTTCTTGTTCAAGTCCTGAGGCAGAAGGGAAGCAGGGCCCAGAGCCCAGTCAGGAAGGCTTGCTGGTGTCAAGAAAGCGAGAGACTCAGGACTACTGGCAAAGGGCACTGAGGGTGGTGGGGAGATGAAGGGTGCTGTCGAGGGGTGTAAGGGAGTGCAGCTCCTGGCTGGCCTGGGGACAGACATGTAAGGGAACTCTATGCAGTGAGGGCTGATGGGGATGAAAAGCAAAAGGGGTGTTCAAGAGAAGCCAGGGCATCACACAAGCGCAGGCAGAGGGAAAAGACAAGTGAAGCAGAGGGCACAGGGCGGCATCTGGGCCGGGGAAGGGCGTGGGGAAGGTGACTCACCTCTCGCAGCAGGTCCTGGTCCAGGCTATGTCGAGCCAACAGCATCTTGCGCTTGTACTGGCGACACTGCAGCTCGAAGTACTGGCGTTGCCGCCGCAGCAGCCCTGCCTCTTCCTCTGCCTGGCACTGCTGTAGTTGCTCCTTCTGTCGCAACAGCCACTCAGCCTTCTCCCGCTTGGGGGTACTGGGGTTCTCCTGGAGTTCCTGGGCAAGGACAGTGGGGAGAGGAGGAAAGTCGGGGCCTGACTCGCCGACACGGGCCCCGTCCACAGCCGCAGCCCTAGCCTACCTCCTTCAGCTGCTCCTTCCGAAGCTTGTAGGTTCGCTTCTGTGCCTCCAGCAAAGCAGCCAGCTCCTTCTTTTGCTGCCCGAGGATGTGCTGTTGAAACTTACGCTCCTCAGCCTGGGCAGCTCGAGCTTCCTTCTCACCGATGGCCTGGTGCCGTCGCGACAGCTTTTCTGCCTCAGCCCCAAAGCCAGCCCGCTGTGCCTCAAGCTCCCGCTGCAGGCGTGCGCTGTGCTCCTCACGCTCACCCCTCAGCCTTGACTCCAGGGCCAGCAGCTGCTTCTGGTGCTGGCGTCGCATCCGCTTATAGCCGCTCAGCTGTTCCCGCAGGGCTGAGTCCTGCTCATGCTCCTGGATCTGACGGCTGACCTGGGGCAGGACAGGGTGAGAAATGGGGTTCAGCCTTGGCCCCCCTCTTGGACACAGAGTCTTGGTGCTGTATGGGGGGGAACATGGGTTTTAGACTCATGGGTTGAATTCTCATTCGGTTCCTTCCTCAACTAGATGTGGAGACTGTCATCAGCTTACAGGCTGGCGTGATGAAATGAGGTAAAAGGTGCGGTACGGTACAAAAGTGCCAACAGCTCAGTTAATTCAAGAGAGCAGAGGGACGAGACAGAATTAGAGCCATCACTTACAGCCATGGGACCTCAAGCAAGTGACATACCTAAGCTTCATCAAACGGGGCAGTAACATTTCCTCACAGGGGACCAAGATCTTATCTGCAGTGTCTAAAAGACCACAGGAGCTTAAGCAAGGAACCCGAGTCACAGCTGCCTCCGCTCTCGAAGGCGATCATGCCCTCTCCCTCTCAGAGGCTCCATGAGGATCTAAGAGCCAATCACCAGGGGAAGGCAGACACCTGAACAGTGTCCCTGCTCTTTGGAAGCACGGGGTCCAGTAAACCTGTCACAATGCCAATGAGCAGCACCACAGGGTTATGACACACTTGACTGGCCAGGAACCTGGGAAGGCATGCTTCGAGACCCCAGTCTAACCTAGTCACAAAAATGGAGTAAGAGTCTGCCAAGTTAGAGCACTCACACCGGGCAACGTGACAAGAACACTCTTGGCAAAACGGAGAGGGGGAAATCAAGGTAAGGAGAAGGCCAGAGATAGCAACAGACAATGAAGGTGGAATCTAGGGCCACAGTGAGAAGTCTTTCCTGGACTGAAAGACACAATTCGGGAGCATTCAGGGCAAAGGAGGCTGGCACACCTACCAGGGAGGCAGTACGGATGGTAGCGAAGTGGTCCCGGTTGCGGCAGTAGGCCCGGCGGCGGGCTGAAGAGGAGGTGGTAGAGGTGGGAGCAGGGGCAGCAGGTGGCTGGATAGGGCCCGGGGTCATCTCTGGCTGGTAGGGATCATCGTACAGGTTGTCAGAGCCCTAGAGGAAAGAAAGGTGAAAGGGATGCCCAAAGCCTAGAGGCCTTTGGGCCCAAAGGGAGTTCCTGTGACTTAGGAAGAGAGGTCACAGTGAGAGCAGAGAACCCAAGTGGTTCCTGAGCAGGAGAGCTGGAGCTCAGCCTTGCCTCTGTCACAGCTACACAGGGTGAGCCGCATACCGGCAGCCGGTGGATGATGGAGCTGTGGGAGGTGACTGTGTGCTCTCCCTCCTGCATCATGGCCATCTCTCGGGCTTCAGGGCCTTCCTCTTCCTCTTCTTCTTCTTCTTCCTCCTCCTCCTCCTCCTCATTGTCTGAGGCATCTGCTAGGCTGTTGACTGAGCTGCTCTGGCTGGAAGCGCTGATGGACATGCTGGGTACTGAGTGGCTACTCTCCAGACTGGTCAGTGTCCCAGCCCGGTGCATGTAGGGTTCCGTCTCCTGCGGACAGGGCGTAGGCTGTTGGGCAGGGAAGGGGAAGGACAAGGGTGTGTACATGAAGGTAGTACTAGGAGACAGGCTGTCAGGAGCCAAGAGGGGCCAAGCAAGCAACCTTCGCAGGCAAGCACAACACAGGGGTTGAGGGTGGTAGGGCAAGCTGGGTCACCTCCTCCTCCTCCGGGGCATCAGCGCCAGGTCCGTTAGGTGCCTCTTGGAACAGGATCTTCTTCATTTTGCGGTACTGCAGGTTGTCCAGCTCACGCACGGCATCTTTGGTCCTCTGGATTAGGTCCATGATGACTGTGGGTGGCCGCTCCCGGAGCACAAAGCGGTGCTAGGAAAAGGGAATGCTGAGGCCTGCTGCCAAGAGCCCTCTGTACCCCAACAGCCCATGGATCTCATCATCTTCTCTACCCCCTTCCCACAATAATTTTCACCATCCAGTCTCTACTCCCCATGTTTTCTTTCTCCTTCAGGGATGGCTGAGAGGCAAGAAGAGTCAAGAGATCTGGATTCTAGTCCAGGTTCTCTATCAAAGTACTGAGTGACCATGGACACGTCACAGTCTCTCTGGGTGTCCCAAGATATCCCATAATTATAAAACTAATCTGAATCAGGTCCTTGTTAACAAGGGCTGCCTAGCCCCCATGGATTTAGGAAGGGAACGGGGGCCCTTCTACTTTTGATAAAAAAAAAAAAATACCTGGGGAAAATTACACATTTACCCGTAAATAGGCTACATAGGCTTTTGGCTTGAATTACATCAGATCAGTGTGGTAACCCTGGTTATCTCAGGCTGAACAGAAGCTGTGGCTGGCAATTATATATTTTTGATGAATAAAAGAAGGGAAAATAAATTATTACTTAATAAGTAAAGACAGGCTAGTAAGACATAACCTTGCAAAACACGGAGCCCACTGGGTACTGGGGATGGAAGTGGGAATTCATAAACTAAGTTCTTGATGGAGGAAGAACAAGGAACTACTAATTTCACTAAAGGATTTCTTATGAATAAGCTACAGTTCCAGGAGAACACTGGGCCAGTGAGCCCCTCACCTTCAGAAGAACCTCTGACGTTGGTCTATCTTGAGGGATTTTCTGAAGACAGGAGTCGACAAAATTCCGGAAATACTCAGACCTAGAAGTCACAGGCGGGTGGGGAGGACATGAGCCAGGTAACCTTACCTCATGACCTAACCCCTGGGCACAGGGATCCCAGTCCTCACCAGTGTCCTGACTGTAGCACGGGGGACTCATTCTGTGCAATGTGGTATAAGGCACTCATCGCATTCATGTTAAACAGAGGTGGTTTCCGTTCCGCTACAGAGAGAAGTCAAGGGAAATAAGGTGAGAGGTGGCAGGTGGGCAGAGGAAACCTGACTGGAAATCAAAGACTCAGGGTCACAGTCCAGCTCTCTAAACTCTTTGCTGCATGACCCTGAGCAATTCCAGTAATCTCAATGAATTCCCTCAAGCAAATACAACACCTATGCTTTCCCTTATACAGAGGTAGAACAGAGATCAAAGAAAATAATGAATGCAAAAGTACCAAAGGCCGAAGAAAGCGCATTCAGTTATTGCTCCAACTAATACAATTGTTTTAAAGGATTTATTTATTTATTCATACAAAAACTGGGGTACAGGCCAGATGCAGGGCATGAGAGGATTCACCAGAGACAGCATAGGGAGCAGAACAACAGATGTGCTGAAACACTGCTGAGAGGAGCAGTGGGCAGGTCAGGAGAGGTCTGCCGCACCACTTGGGTCACCTCCCTGGCCGGGAGTTTGACATGTGCCGCCAGTGGCATCATCGTGCTGCGCTTTAACTTGATGCGCCACCAGGGAGGGCTCCAACTAATGTAAATTAAATGCCAAACAAAAGCCAAAACTTTCCTAAGTGCAGTAGAGAAGGTAAGGAAAGACAAGTGACAGGCTTGTTCCTCCAGGAATTTCTAATCTAACAGGGAAGATGAAATAGCACTGAACAAGTAAAATCAAATCCAAAGTGTTCACTGGCACAGAGGGAGACTAGAAAAGCTGGGAAGCTTGATGTGTTCGTGGACCTTCAAGTTGATGTATTTGTAGAGGTTTCAGGGAAGGTCTTTGAAAAAGGGATATTGCAGCTAGGTCTTAGTACAAACCAGGAGCCCTCCGCCTGTGGCCTAGTCAAATGATTTATGTCACTCATGTTTGTGGTTTAAATAGTGACTTTAGACCAAATTACTCTGAATTTCTAGTGCTATTTAAAAAAAAAAAAAAAAACAGGATCTAGTGAAAGAGAGCCTCCTCTCCTGTGTAAAAATCATCTGCAGAGGCAACAGGGGCCTCTTCACCTGGGAATAGCAACCTCCAGTTTGCCAGTCTTCTCTATCATACATATACTTTGCTTCTCTGACAAACTCAGACCATCAGTTGCCATTTATAATAAAGACTGATTTTTTTTTTAAAAGATTTATTTAGTTATGCATACAGAGCTGGGGTACAGGCCAGGGATGCAGGTGTGCGGTGAGAGGTTTCACCAGAGACAGAGCGGAGAGCAGGACAGGCAGATCAACTGAACTACACTGCTGAGGGGAGCATGAGTGGGTCAGGAGAGGTCTGCTGTACCATGCTGGTCACCTCCCTGGCCAGGGATCGAACTTGTGATGCAGTGGCTGTGGTAGTCTCATAATGCTGTCCTTTAACCTACCAGGGAGGCCGCTGACTTTTTTAAATAGTAGGGAAATACTTTCTGAATCCATGTCTCTACAAAAAACTAGGCGAAAAAACGGTAAGATCTAGATTTTCTTCTTATACCTAGCTTGCTTCACATATTTCCATTTCCTGTCTAGCTGTGGGGAAAAGTAAATATAGAATTATGGAAATGGAGGGAATGGAGGAAATGCTTAAATGTCTGAACTGGGGCAGGATACAATACAAACCAAAGCAAGAAACTGGAAAATTTGGTGGCACATTCAGGGGTGGAGCTAATGACGGGGAGAGCTAGCCTTTAAGTAGTGTCTTTAGCTTGGTGCGAGGTTTAAGTCTATAAGGCAATGGGTAACCAGTGATGGTTCAGATCACTGAGAAGAGTGAAACCACAGCATTGAGCTGAGGCAGACCTCTCTCACATGAGGAAAGAATGGAATGAAGAGACTGGGAGTAGAAAAGATCCCTGCAAGAAGTTGTTAAGAATAACCAAAGGTATCAGAATCTTGGGCAACTATTTGCTACCATGCTGGGGACCTTAGAAACACTATCCTCACTAGATAGTTGTTTGAATAGTGTAGGCTGTCAGTGATGAGAACCTGACATGGTTTCAAGGTCTTATGAGTTCATTTGAACCTCACTCTTTGGCCTTACTACTCACATGCTATATCCCTAACTGAAGCTAGTCTCAGCTCCCCATGCCTGCTCTTACCTCAGGATTCTGCACATATTAGTGTCCATCTGGAAGGCTCTTCGCCACAGTCTTCAGTTAACTTAGTTTAAAAAATTTTTTATACATACAAGATTTGGGGTTCAGGCTAGAGATGCCTGAGGGGGGCGGTGAGAGGATTCCCCAGAGTGGGGAGCAGAACAGGCAGAGCCACTGAAATTCACTGCTGAGGGAAGCAGTGGGCAGGTCAGGAGAGGTCTGCTGTGCCTGTGGGTCACCTCCCTGGCCAGGAGGGCACTCATACTGCAATGGCTATGGGTAGCTTCACAGTGCTGAGACGTAACCCCTTCCACTACCAGGAAGGTCCCCAGCTAACTTTTTTTTTTAAGATTTATTTATTTACGCGCACAGGACTGGGCTACAGGCCAGAGGTGCAGGGGTGGTGAGAGGATTCACCAGAGAAACAGTGGGGAGCAGAACAGGCAGATCAACCAAGTACACTGCTGAGGAGAGCAGCAGGAGTCAGGAGAGGTCTGCTGTGACATATGGGTCACCTCCAGGGCGGGGATCAAACTCATGCTGAAGTGGCTTTAGCTTCTTAGTGCTGCACCACCAGGGGAGGCCCCCAGCTAACTATTTTAAATATTATTTGTTGTGTGGTCCTGTTTACACATCTCTGCTATAGGAAAACCTTTCAAGTAGCCCTTAAATTAGCTCAAGTCCCTTGGCTGTAGTGCTCCTGTGACTTCTCCATTCAGCTGTTATCACACTGAAAGCTATTTCTCTAACTTGGAAGTAAGTTTCACAAGGACAAGAGTTTCACTCACCTCTGTAACCCCAGGATCTACTAGTAGCGTGTATGGTACAAAATGGGCACTCAAAAAAGACCTAGAACTAGTATAGAAGACCGGAAAGAAATAGATGGCAAGGTCTCAGAACTGGGAGGATTTGACAACTGCCTATACTGGAGATTAAGGGTAGAATGAAAATGGGTAACAGCTTATAGGTCTCTGAGCACAGGATGGTATGGCAATAGTAACAGAAGAATGGAGAGAACAGTGGACAGAGGAGCAGCGAGAACGCCTTACCTAGCTCAATGCAGGTTATCCCCAAGGACCAGACATCCACTTTACCATCATACTGCCCCTCATCCATCGCCAGAATCACCTCTGGAGCCATCCTGAGAGAACGGTCAGAAAAAAGAAGCTAATCAGCTGCCCAGACTCTGACAACTCCTGCATCCATTGTCTTGGGAGCACACTTTCTCACAACCATGCCCACTCACCAGTATGGTGTGCCCACAAAGGAGTTGGCTGGTGCCATGATGGATGCAGAGCCAAAGTCACCCAGCTTTACCAAGCCTGGCTCTGACAGCAGGATGTTTCCAGCCTTCACATCCCTGGAAGGCAAAGCACAGGAGTAGGGTACATGGCTCAGGACGGCCTGACAGGGGCTTTGTACTAAGTTTCTAAGACCGTAACCCAGCAGAACAAAGAGCAGTGTAGAGAGCAGCCCTTCCCAGTGCTGCTGTACCTATGAATCATGTTGTGGGAGTGCAGGTAAGCCAGGCCCTGAAGGGCCCCGTGGGTCACTGCGGCGATCTCTACTTCCTGAAGGGGCTTCTTGTGCACTGGAGAGTAAGGGAAAAACATCAACGGGAGGGAGCCTGAGCACCCTTGAAACAAGCTCCCCCTAACCCTTTCCTGCTCCTCACCCTTTTCCTGTTTACTGGTCAAAGAGTCACTTACCTTCTAAAAGGTCAGAAGCTGAGCCCAGGCAATACTCCATCACCAGCTAAGGAAGGGTCAAGGGTCAGAGATCAGCAGACCTGGCTACCACTGGCCCATCTCCCTTAGGCACATCTCCAAAAGAGAGAGCTTCCTTGCCTATCCTCCACTCAGGCAATGCCCCCAGGGTAATGACCAGGAGGAAGGACAACTGAGAAAATGAGGGCATGATAAGGACTGTCTCCAGTGTGAGGGTCTCCCCTAGAAAAAGCTCAAGAAATCACCATTACAGCCATCTGCACCCCTTCAAAGTCCCATTCAATCTCCATCTCTTCCAGCCCAGATGTTTCTTTCCAACTGCTAGTATTCTGTCATTTTTCAAACCAGCCTCTCCCTCTGGATCCAGGGACACTTCTGTTAATGGGTTTGTCTGAGGACTAAAAGAGGTTGGGAGAAATTTTCTCCCTCCTAAGCTCCCCATGGTAACACCCTGAACAGGGACTACCTAAAAGAAACGACCATCATTCGGATGGGCCAAAGTGGGGGCAACGAGGAGGCCGCGTCGGGGCAGCTCACCCACGCCGTGTGCTCTCTCAGGTAACAGCCCCGGTACTGAATGGTGTTGGGATGTCGGAGCTTCTGCAGGAACCGCACCTCCTTGATGATGTCCTGCCACTTCTGAGAGAAGGTTGAGAGAGGACAGGTTTATTCAGGCTGTATTTTGAGACTGGGGTCACTTATTACCCCACATGGTCTTGTCAAGGAAGACCCACCTCATTTGACTGCTTCCCACTGTAGGACATCTTCTTGATGGCCACAACCTCACTGTTACGGACATCTCGGGCCTAGAGGACCAGACGAGAGAGTAGTGATGGTTCCCAGTGAGAACTGGGCAGAAGACTCATTGGCTCAGCAGAAGACAGGAAACCCAAATAGGATACAGCGGCTGGTTGGAGTTTCATGGGGGCAAGGATACAATTTACCCATCCCTACCCACCCTCCTGAGCCCCAACTCACAAAGTACACAGCTCCAAAGCTGCCATGGCCAATTTCTCGGAGATCAGAGAAGAGCTTTTCGGGGTCATCCTTGAAGAAGAGCTCAGCCACATCGGGATCCTTCAGGCTCCCGGCTCGGCCCCCAGCTGGCATGGTGGCCCCTGGGGGCCCTGAAAAAGGGGCCTGTCCTAGAGAATGGAGATGGAACCCTCAGAGCAGGGATGGGGCCTTTTGAGAAAGGAATGGGAGTCTATCAGGTTCTGCCTCCCCTCTCTTAGATCATTAATGAGGCACCAGTTGAAGAGGAGCAGGGGGAGATTAAGAACATCAAAGCTCAAAACAGCAACAAAAAACAACCCCAAAAGTAGCTCTGGCAATTGAGCACAGGGGCAGGCCCGTGGAGTCCCTAAAGCTGCTAGAAGACTGGGAGCCAAGTACTCTCACCACGGCCCTCACTTCTCCCCTTAAGAATAAAAGATTCTGCCTCCCAGGCAGTGTTCTGTCCCAGAAGTTTCATACTCCAAACATTTCCCAGCATCTTCCTGTACCCTTGGTAATGAGGCCTCCTCCTCCCTCTCCCTCTCACACCCTGGAAGAGAGCAGGAAACGGCCAGGCCGGAGGCAGTGGAAATCCGGCCATTGTCAGAAGTGGGTACTGACCCAGAGCAGCCAGGAGACTTGCTCTCAAAAGTGTCCAGGAACCAGTGATAGGGAGACTGGAATGGGGGAAGACAGGGCTATATTGGTGTCTGGCTTGGGGCCTCTCTGATCCAGGCTCCCTTACTTGTCACATCCAACTACAAGAGAGCACACAGGTCTAGGACACTTGCAGTGTACAAACATTTATTGCATATACACTGCGTATTATTTCTCATTTAATCCTCACAATCTTATGAAGTAAATATTACTAGTACCCAATTTTACAGGCTCAGAAAGGATAAGAAACTTGCCCCAAACCGGCCCTCCACTACTGTTTTCACAACAGCCACATGTAATAAGCAGGGCAGGATGCAATCACCATGTCACAGATGAGGCTACCAGGGCACAGAAATGAAGAACTTCTCTAAGTCAAAGAACAAGGTCTTCTCTTCAGTCAGGCCCATTATTCTCATAGCAACTTATGCACAGCTCGGCTCCTCCTGCAGGAAGCCTTCCTGACTACAGCAGCCCTTGGGAGGGCTCCTAGAACACCCAGTCAATTACCCAGAGATAGTTCTCACAGTCCATCTGAGCCAAGACCCCCTTGAAGGGCTTTCAAGCCGGCCTCTCCGCTAAGCACTTGTTGGAATTTAAGCACAAAGGCACCTTCAGCTCCACTCTCAGGGCAGTCCTACTCCTTAAAAGTACCTAACAATTTAGCATGTAATTATATTCTGTGGGACATTGTTTCCTGTTGTGTTGTTAATTCTGTCTCCTCAGCCCAACTGGAAATTGGAGGGCCTAGAGTGAATGAGTCTGACTCTTCTGTGGGCCCCCAGGGTGTAGAGGGCTCAGAATAGCCAAGGAGATTGATTGACAGAGCACCAACCCCAGCAGCTCCAGGCTGTTCAAAGGCCCCTTTCTCCTTTCTCCTGCCAAGCACCCCTCTCCCACGACACACCCACACACAAAGGCAGGTGCTCTCAACTTGCCAAAGGAATCTTAACCTCTTTATCAGCACTCAGCCAAGAATGCCAACCCAGGAGCCTGGGCCACATGTAAATAAAACATCACAAGGGGCCTCTTTCTCAACGAACATGTATGAATGATCACCAAGGTCTGTGTTAAATCATTACCCCTTTCTAAAATGGACAATATTATCTCCATTCTGCAGAGGAGGTAACTCAATACGGTCTGTCCCTAAGCTACACTACACCTCATCCGCGCTGTATAGCAACAGGGCTTTTAGTAAGTTCCTTAATCTTCATTTGGGTAAAAATGTTTTATAGCATGAGGCTGTTGTGAGATTTTTAACAGCATCTCATGCTTAGGAACACTTTGCAGCCACTCACATAGGGTTTTTCCTTCCCTGCCTCTGGGGTCAACATAAGGCTTAATATTTTGGTGATCATCCTATCCCTAAAGCTTGACTTTAACGATTAAGAAACACCACAATGGCTGAAGAGAGAGACCTCTCAGGAGCCCAGACAAAAGACTGGGATCAGGGTAAAGATGAAGGTCATAGTAGAGAGAAAAATCCATAAAGCAGAAGCCAGAGTCTCTCATCAGGAAAAGCTTCGGAGCACAGCTTCCTGAAAAAGCTCTTCTCAGCCCCATTCTTAAATCTCACCACCACTTGTTCTCCTCTGAACCTCTTTGGTCAAGCCCAGACACACAAGAGATAAGAGACAGGTATACCAGCAGGGGCAAAACTTGACAACTTGGGTTCAAACCATGATTCTGCCACTGTGTGACCTTGGGCAATCTAAGCCTCAATATTCTCAACTGTAAAATAGGAAGACGGCAATAGAAGACCCCCATGGGGTGACTAGGGAGAGGGAAGAGGTCCTATTAGAGAATGGATATACAGCATCCATTTGACAGCTCTTTTGACAAATGTATGAGATCATTTATACCCTCACAGCAAGAGTTTGGAAGGTAACTGCAGCTGGGGGAAATATTGTCAGGCACCCCCAAACACAAATGCACACACACACTTCCCTGAAAGGCCAAGAAATCTAATCATACCATGCCTAAAAAGCAGATAAGCAGACCCATAGTGGGGATAGAGGAATGGGAATCAACACCCCAGAGCAATCAAGAAAAAGGGGTATAACCAAGAAGTAGCTGTCAGAGGCAAAGTGAACAGGGAAGACCCTCAGACAGTGCAATCCCAACCGATTTACCTCGAGTATCCTAGGGTGTGACCCTCTCACATGACATCAGAGACCCTGTCACCCGAAGTCCCCCCTCAACATTCTGACATAATGAAGGGGAAGGGGCTGCAACAGAAGGCACGGCTAGCCAGAGGCAGACCACTGGCCCAGCTGGGCTTCCCCATGATGAGGAAGGGTCTATTCAGGCCCTGCTCCTCAGAGGAGCGCCCTTTCTTTTCAATGCTAGACACAGCGACCCGTGCCCCTGCACCCCATATCTCACCTGGTAGGGGTCACTATGGTGCCCCAGCGCCTCCTCCTGGGGTCCTCCAGCGGTTCTGCCAAGCAGGGAGAGGGGCAAGGAGACGGTCCCCCTTGCCACCTCTTCCACAGCTTTCGCCCTTCCTGAGGGGCGGGCCCGGGAAGCCTCCCCTGGAGAGGAGGGGGTGACAACCTGATCTGACCTCGCGGTCCAGTCCTCCTCCTCCTCGCGGACGACACTTGCTGAATCCCGGATTTCGGTTTGCGGGGTGTGAACCCCTTAAATCTGAACCGGGAGAGGCTGAATCTGGTATTTGAACGCGTGGGGAATAAACCCCAGATACTGGTGCACGCAGGGGCCTGAAGCCCAGGTATCTGAAATCCTATGAAACAGATCCCCAGGTTTAGGGAGGCTGGGACCCGAGTCCCGGATATCTGGGACCCGAGGAGCTGATACCCGGATATCTGCGAAGCGAGGGCCAAGCCCGGAAATATGGGACCAAAGGCCTGAGTCCCAGGTCTTCGGCCACCAACAGGGGGCCCACCCCGAGGACGTCCGGCCGCACGGTTCCTTCACGCCGGGGTCCGAGGGTGACAGCCCCCACTCCCGCCCCGGCCTTCTCCCTTTCCCCTTCTCTCTCCTGAGGGTAGCTGAAAGACTGTAGTGAAAGGTGGTCCCGCGCCCTCTCTCCCTCTCCTCTTCTCAGTCTCAGCCTTTCCGCACCACAGCCCTGGTCTCGTCCCGGTCTCCCTCTCCCTCTTCCTCCCAATTCCAAGATGGAGACCGGGCGGGAGCGCGCAGGCGCGGTAGGGAAGCCGGGCCAAAGAGGGCGGGGCCGAAGGGATGCAGCCCCGCCCCTCTCCCACTGCCGCGACCGGGAAGATGGGCCACCGCTGAGCCGGAGTGCGCGCGCGCCCCGCCACGCGGGCCCTGGGTGGGAGGAGACGGGGAGAAGGGATAGGCTTGGAGCGGGAGGAGCCAGCGCGCTGTCCGACAACTGGTGGTTGAGAGGGCTGTAGCGCATGCGCTCGCCCCGCCTCAGCCCGAGCCCGAGCTTGTTGCTAGGGGAAGCTTTGAGGGGGCGCTGGTAGGAAAGAAGCGGCCGTGTTCTTGCGCCTGCGTGCAGCATAGATGTTGGGAGGGGTGAGGGAAGGCTGTTGCTCCGCGCGGAAAAGGCGGGAAAATGGTCTGCTCTGGTGAGTCGCCTCCTAGCCCAGAGAGGGCTTCCGAGTTTGAGGAATCTTTGCTGGGAAAACTCAGCCTGTCAGAGCCCTTCAGGAAACCGAGGCCCTCTGGATTTGCATGACCTGACCAAGGTCATAATGCATTTATGTCAAAGCATTCCCATGGCCATAGCCACCTAACTTTACCAGTTAGTCTAATTATCAGTTTTATTTCAAAGACGAAAACAAAACAAAGTGACAGAGCTGAGACCAAAAGCGGGCTTTTCAAAACAACGTCAGAAGAGTTGAAGTAATCTGTGTCTTAGTCAACCTGTATCCCAAACTAGGGTGTCAACAAGGAAAAATTTCCCCAAACCTCCCAAATCTGTCAACCCTAAAACCCCCAACTCAATCCAACCCCCAAAAACACCCTGGGAAACAGTGGACAAAAAAAGCCTTTTATTTCCCCCCACAATCCAGCTTTCCATTTTTTGTAACATCTCTTCCAACTCAGAACCAAGTCCAACAAGTGGATTCACACCTGGAGAGAAAGAGAATTTTAAAATCAAGGCAGGTCAGAAGACTCTTGTGGGAAGATTTGGCGTGGTTGTAGAAATTGAGGAGGCCCAGGAAGTGAGCCCTAGAGAGTTACAGGCACCCATCCCTGTGAGTCTGACCTCTGGAGCCCAAGATAAACTAAAGACCTGGAAACTTCCTTTGCTAAGGAAGTTTCAGGAACTTCAGGAACTTCCAGGTCTAAGAAAGACGGACCAAGTAGGTGACTTGAGGAATGGGACCCAGTCCTGAGCAGAGCTGATCTTGACTATCCAGTTCCTCTGGCCAGAGCCCTACCCCTGGGTTTTTCCAACTTGTCCCAGGGCACACAGCTGAAGCTGAAAGCAGCTTAAGAGCTGTATAGGGAATGTGTGAGGCTGTGTTCCTCTAAAAATCCTGTTAGAATCAACTTTTTCTAAGTGCAATGGTGGCTAACGGAAAAGAGAAGGTTCACATAACGAAGTGCTAGGATGCATAGTATGTGCTTTGAACGTGAGTACCATCATTATATTCTTTTGAGCTGTTCAAGATAAATTTTATAAATTTTGCATCATAAAACTGAGTCAGAATTTCAGACACATATGATTCATATCCAAGATGTACTATCAAATTTGAACCCTCTTAACTCACCATTGTTGCCCAAAAGATTAAATGTAAACTATGGCTATGGATAATTTTTAAAACAAAATGTCAACCAAAATAAATCAACCACAAAATAATATCAAAATGAGTCCAATCTTTATGAAATATTCCACCTATATAAAACAAATAAAATCAAATCACAATGTTTAGACAATACTCTACCTCAGTTACAACTGCCACCCCAACCCCTTACTCCCTTAGTACTGGGGCAAAGAACCTTACCTGAGAACAATATGGGAACTCAGAGTCGGGTTCTAGACCAATGGGATTCCCGGCGTGGGTGGAAGCACACAGCAGTGAGACAGCAGAGAAGGCCACAAAAGAGAAGCAGGAAGGAACCCAAGACCAGCAGCCTAGAGCCACACAGAGCCAGCTCCTCCTAGGGATGGGTACAGGGAGGGAAGTAGGAATCATGTAGGAAGATCCGGATGGTGGAGAATCTTCCCTAAGGAAGACGCATTCCCCACAGCCCACGGGCTAAAGAGAGAATGGCTATGAGGGAGAAGGTTTTCCTCTAGGAAGCAACCAAAGGAAAGATGTTATTTCCATACAAGTTAATGTTTTTCTCAATGTCTCCAGTACTTTCTTGTCCAGTCATTGAATTACACCCCCAGAATGACTTTATGAAACAAAAAGTCACCATTATCCAAGCAGACCAGGTCTGGAAACCAGGATCTTCTCTGGTTCCAACTTCCCAAGTCATGATCCTCACTGAGATATTTTTAAATGTGAGGGAAGAATCTGCAGCAGCCTCCTCACTGTCTCCCTCTCCTGTCTAGCCAGGCTCCTCTGCCCAGCACCAGGGCTCTCATGGCCTTCCATGTTAACTTGTAGCATCTTAACATGTCATCCTGGTGCCCTGATCAGGCCCATGCACCTCTCTGACTTCTTTCCCAAGGTCACTCTTAAGCCCTCATGGAGCACATACCAGAAGGCAGAACACTTCAATCCCTAAGTCATCGCTCCGCTCTGAACCCCCCTGCTGCATTCTTCCCAGATCTTCCTTGTCCATCAAGGACCATACAGACAGGGCAGAATAAGCCTGGGCAGAAGTTGCTGTGCTGCCTCGGCCACTTAACCAGTTGTGTGGCCTTGGGGCAATTCACTCCCTCTCTTTAAGTCTGTTTCCTCATCTGTAAAATGGGATAATGGCTACATCAAAAGGCTCTTTTAAGATCAAACGTGATAATGAACCTGAAAGCACTTTGTACTATATAAACCAATGTACACAATTCCCTTTCTTAAATAGCACCTTCTCTGTGAAGCACTCTCCATAAATGTTCAAGTTAGGGTTAATTGCTCCTTATTTTGTGTTTGCTTAACACTCTGCTCACATCTCTATGATAGCAATTGGCTTATTCTGCCTCTTATTACAGCCTCTGAATTCCTGTGAGGTAGAGATCATGTTTTATTGTATTAAAGACAATAGTTAATAGTAATAGATGTCATTTGTCAAATCTCTATTATGTACTGAGCACTGCACTGGACTCTTTACATTCGTTCTCATTTACCCTTGTCTGTTGAATTAGGAGACAGTATCATGTTTTCCAATTTACAGATGAGGAAATTGAGATTCAGAGAGGCTCAGATGCTTGCTCAAGGTCACAGAGCATGCCAAGCAGTACTATAAAGCCTGTACTTTTTTTTCTAGGTAAAACTGCCTCTAGAAGTCCGCGAGACCCAACATTCAGGATGGCAGTCTATGAAGACATGGCAACATGAAGCTTTACCGAGGTGAGAAGCTTGGTGAGCACAAGGCCTTCGTGGCTCCAGACTGGGACACAGTCCGCAGTCATCCTAGGGCTCAGGGTGGCATTTCCTGCTCCCTCCTCTGAGCAGGATATGGGAGGCTGGCTGGTGGGCAGGATTCCTGGAGCAGCACTAAAATATAGGCAGGTTCCTGGAGTCCTTTCTGAGGTCACTCTGGCTGTAATGAGGACCACCTCTTTAGCATAAGATCCTATTAAAGGGAGAAGAGATGGGAGAAAATGAAGGGGGTGGGAGGTGGGAGTCATCCATTTTAAACTTCTATTCATTCCTAAGGCTTCCTACAATGCCAAGTGTTTGGTCATTGATTCTACTCTGAAATAGTCTATGTAACATCATTTTCATTGAGAAACAAAAATAGTTATGAATTAATATAAACAAAGTTACAATCAATAAAACGATCATACAAATACTCAAAAGGTTTCAGTAAAACTAAGGTAGGTACACACTGATGATGACAGTTTCAATAAACTAGCTCATCCTTTTTAAAATAGTAGGTTTCCACTAGGTACCAAAAACAATTTAGAAGTTCATACTTTCTTTCAAATTACTGGGAAATAGAGGGTCTCTCAGTCAGTAGCCGTGGGACAATTTCCACTTGTGGAACAAAAGATTCCTATCTCAAATATAAAATACAACCCAGATGTATTAAAGAACTATACAAACAAACTAAAATGAAAAAGAACAAAAGATCAGGGAAAATAAAGAATATTTTTCAATTCTAAAATGGGAAATGCCTTCCACAAAAAGACACAAAGCTAAATAATCTTAGCCTCAAAAAAAAATTAAAGGCTTCTATCCAATGAAGGATAAGTTAATCAAAGTCACAGATTGGTCAAAAATACCCATAATATAGTTAACAGGCAAAAAGGTTTTCTACCCAGAATGTATTAAGATCTTCTAAAATCAAGACAATAAAGAGAAACAACAAGAGAAACAAGCAAAGGATCAGGACAGAAAATTCACAGGAAACTTAAGTATGGTCAACAAACATGTAAGATATTTCCCCTCATTTCAATCAAGACAAAGTAAATTAAAACTATCAGATAATTCCTTTGTCTCTTAAACTGGTAAAAATTTAAAACTCTGATAATAGCAAGAGTTTTGGGAGAGATGAGGAAATGGGTAGTCTCAACCGATGACAGTTTTTGGAAGACAGTTTCACTGATCTGTCCAATGGGGCGTGAGAGGATGCCCACTGAACTCAGGGCAGTAAGGAGGACTTTTACCTCTGTATGTATATTGAAAAAAGGTCCATACCCTTTGATGCAGTAATTCCACTTGTAGAAACTAATCCTAAAGAAGGATTCAAGAGGAAAATGCAAAGCATATGCAGCTGTTCACTGTGACTTTATGGATCGATTCATATCCATTATATCCAAAGAAAAATGTTCAGACCGCATACTGATATGGAAAACATAATGGCCTAAGTCAAAAAAGAGAACTACCAACCATACACATTATGATTACAACTGAGAAATGTACATCTTAAATTTTGTGTGTGTTCCCCTTTCTTCTAGGTTCCCCAAATTGAATCAACCACCAAGTACTATCAATCTCACACTTCTAATGTCTCTCTCAAGTCAATCGCCTTATTTCACGTTACTGTGTTAGCTCAGTTTCTTCTCATCTTTTTATTATCCATTCCTAAGTAGTCTTCCTG